TTTTTTTCTCCTCTTTTGCTTTGGACCTTCCCTGAATGGCCTGAATGAAGACAATCATTCTGCTCCGACTCCAATTGACGGGGTTCCGAGCTCAGCAGGAACGTCCCGGAACCCAGGCACTTTCATCTTATACCTCGCTGTGCACACCCATACATGTATTCGTCAATGTAAGGTACCTACCTACCTCTCGCGGTCTCACCTCCCGCAGTCGAGTAAGAATGGAAAGAGGAAGTGGAGGGCCACCATCAGCGGCTTCTACTTTCTCTCTCACTCTCCCTCAAGGTGGAACTTCCTTTCGCTCCTCCCACAACTGGCACAAGACCACTAAAGGTAAGTGCACTGCACTCCGGGCAGTCTTCCAGTCTCCATACCAGAAAAAAAGACGAGCGGGTCCCGTTCGGTAGTACCACGCAGTGCTCCATGCGGCCCCGTAAGCGCTGCCTTGCCGCTCGGGCCTATCACAGGGGGTAAACGGAGCATTTGCTCCGGCAAGGCCCAGCTTGTTCTATGCCGTGAGATGCCCCCATTCGACTTTTTGCCCCCGCGCGCTCTCCCCTTCCTTGGAGCCTTCCCACCCGTTCCCCCATTGAAGGGGCCTTGGGGCCCAGAGTTGTGGCTTTGCACCCTCCAATGTACCTTACCTGACCCGGACATGGGCCTGACCTGGGGATGCAGCTGTGAGGAAAAAAAAAGGTTTATGGCGGGCAATGTGTACTGTACAGAGTACAGAGTACCTCTACCGAGAGGGGGGGAATACCGTGGGAAAAAGAATGGGATATGAAAACGCACCAAAATATATGCCCAACCAGACAAATCAATTTTGTCCAGTATGATTAGAACTGTGCTTCACTGTCGTCGCCTTATCCGCTCCATTCCGCCGCCGCCAAATTTGCCCTGCCCTTCTCATCTCAACCTTTCTTCCCCTTCCACTTTTCCCTTCACAAGTTCACTCGCCCCTCGTACGTTGCCTTCTTTCCGCCCTTCCATCCCCAGGTATACCGTACTTCCTACACCACCTAAATTCTTCTTCCCGTCGAGTCCGTTGCGTACACTATCCGTACTGGCTCGCCTCTCCCGCCCCGGTTCAAGACCCTGTCCGCACTGACCAACCAGAAGAGAAGCCTTCGATATCCTCCGCCCGCAACGTCCGTCGTCGTCGAAAACGCTCCGGCCCAGCAAGGGGTCCTGGTGGAACCCATCGTGTGGCAATTCCTTCAAAACTTTGCTCTCCATTGGATGAGCCGAACCAAGGTCGCGGGGCAGCCACAGCTGTTGTTTATATCAGCCACACCAAGGCCACCAGTTTGGCACGCTGTCCAACTGTCTCTGTGGTCCCTTCGCCTATTATTCTCTGTATCAGTCATTTCAATCCAGGACAATACTCTCATGTTGCCCTTTTCCAAAAACACACCCTCCGAATCACTCGTCACACGCTGTCCGAGAGGCTCAACGTCCGTTTCACTCGGCTTTCATGTGTGTTGAGCACAAATCTGTTTGCCCAGTCTGTCGGAGACTCTTCCTAGTCTATGTCGCCTTTTGTCAAGCATACCATCCTCCTTTGCTGGAGTGTCCGTTTGGTGTTGTAGTGCACCCAATGCAGATGCTCGACGGGCGATGTCCGAGTCCTGTTTGTCCAAATAGCCGCGTGGGGGGCTGCTTGGTCATATAGGGAGAAACTTCGGAAAAGGAAAAAAGAGAAAGAAAGAATCGATTGTAAGTGCCCTTGGCTAATACACAGTAAAATTTGGTAAAATTCAATCTACTAACGGATTTTACAGCTTCTGGCCGTTATTATCAACTTCCACCACCTGGTCGATGCCTTCGTACTGCGGAATTTCCAAATTGTATTTTTCAGCAATGCCGGGCGATACAAATCTGCTCCCAAGGTCAGCCAACAGATTTTTTAAGCTTGGTGCTAGGGCGGACTTAAGAGCATACCTTCCGCCGATGAAGTGCCGTCCTTTGAAATGCTTCACCAGTGGCTTTGGCGCTGTCAGGCTGACAAGGACCTCAGGTTGGAACGAACTCCCGGGACCGGACGAAGGCGGGCCATTCTCGATATCCCATGATGAAGGGGCGTCAACCGAAGTGACAGGCAACTTTGTTTCCTCGAGCGCCTTGATCACCGCAGGGAAAGGCTCCCGGACCTCTCCAGAAAAGCTGAATCCTGGCGTCAAAATGTCAGGCGCGTGCACGCATGATGGTGGAGACAAGGGAAAAGAACGAACCGAAGATAGCGTCTACGATATGATCGGTAGATTTCGCCGCCGTAAGGAAATCATCGACGAACGGAACGTCTAAATCCACCAACTGCTGCGCCAACCGCTGAGGCATCTTCAGTCAGCAAAGCTACGACCGATCGACGGCAAGCGCCACGGAGAACGAAGGGCGGGAGGGGTCAATTTTTATGGTAGCACCGTATACACGCAAAGATGCTGCCAGTTTCTTTACTCCTTCTCTCGAGAGAAGAATCATAGAGTTGTGCATTTGCATAGCGTGGCGTGGGAGGAGAACCAAAGCATTCTGAGCTCGGGTGACCGAGAGCTCAAGAGGAGTCACCGATAGACGGTATGTAATTGCAAGAACATCCCCATGTACTATGCGCCGAACGAACCGATCGAGATAGACAAAAGCGAATGGCATCTTCACTCACCTGGTACAAATCATTCTTGCTCCGCTTGGGATAGTAGATAGTTGGCTTGTAGCCATAGTGACGGAGGTGTCGGGCAGCCACTAGGCCATCGCCACCTGTACAGGGGTCCTGGTCAGATACTTGGTGATTGAGACAGTGGAATGTTTGGAAGGGTTCTCACCGTTGTTACCGGGGCCGCATGCAACGAGAATGTTCAGACCACGGCTGGGAGGGTGAACGCGATAGACTGTTTCGAGGTGTCAACCGAAAGCCTGAGCAAGCAAGCGTTGGCCGTTGCGGGAACTCACTCGCTTGTGACACGGATAGTCCGGCAAGTTCCATGAGCTGGTCGATTGAGAAGGCACCGGTGCTCATGAGGTCCTTGTCCAAGGCCGCGGCCGCCTTCGCGCCGAGAGTCTGTTGATACGTCGGTGTCAATGGGGCCCCTTCTGGTGTTACTTCCAATCACTTACTCTGAGGGACATATTGTTGACGTTTCCAAGTTTCTTCTGCTTGAAACTTTATGATGTCGACGTGTGGAGCTTCCGGGCAATTTCTGACGCCTCCAAAGAGTTGATGTGACGTTGGGGTGATGGTTCGAGATGTACTGGGGAAGTCAGAAGGTGGATGAACATGGAAGGGACGTGCGACGGGCTGACATCACTCCGCATCGGAGTTTAGAATACCGGTCAGTGACGAACCACAGGACCGGACCGCAGGAACGACCGCCGGCTCGGCAGTCACCGAGAGACCCACACAGTCCATACAGTGCTCTTCCCGCACCCATCGAAGCTCTTACACGCTGCACACCGAGTTATGTTTGCCACAGAGAACATGCAAACCAAATCTGGGTGAATGCTCCTGCTTTACTAAATTTTACAGTGACCAAATATCAGCCGACTTGATACCTTAGCACGCCCGTGACAAGGCCCATGATACGATCAGAATCCTCCTCCGGTGGCTGAAAGCCTAAAAGGGAAGCTGTTCGACGGCGTAATGGTGTCCCTCAAAGTCCTTAAAGTCGACGTCTCTCACGGGATACCCACCAATATCGAGAGCCGCCTCGACCCACCCATTGTTGGCCTTCCCTCCCCACGTAGCCTCAGCAAAAGCTCGCATCATATCGGTGCCATTCAGCAGCGAGCTCGAAGTCCACAACTTTCCATCATGTGCCCAACGAGTCTCAACCCAATTGACGACCGGAACACTCTTCTTCATGGCACCGACAATCATGCGGGGGCAGGTTGCCGTCTTGCCAGTCAGAAGACCGGCCTCGAGAAGCGGGAACATACCGCCACAGATAGTCAAGAAGGCGCTGCACTGCTGGTAAACCTTGCGGATGAAGACGAGCTCGGCTTCACTGGTCTTGTACTTGAGGTCATGAGCTCCCATGAGGGAGATATCCAAGGGTGGACAAGACTCAAAGGAGTCCTGAATGGTAGTTAACGGTGTTAGAGAATCTCTCTGCTGGAATGGAGGTGTCTTGTGCCACTGACAGTCGGTTGGATCTGAGCCCTGCTCTTCATATGGGCAGGTTTGCCGTCCTCAGTGATCCAGTGAAGGTCAAACTCGATGTCGTCCTCCCACATCTCCTGCGGTAGGTTAAGCATTTGACGCGAAGTCTTATCGGTCCAGGCAAAGAATTCAAAAGGTGCAACATCGAGCATTTCGGTGACGCTGTGAATGTCTCAGTTCAATTGCATCAGGGAAATTTAGGAATGAGAGCTTGAGAATTACCCCTTGGTCAATATGACACCGGCATGAATCTTGCGGTTGGGCTTGCTGAGATTGAAATCCATGGTTGTGGGCTGAAAGGTAACGTAAAGCGGGAAGAATGGCGATTGTTCGAAAGTTAAGTATGGGTGAGTATAAGTGAAAGTGACCGAAATGCTTGCGCTCTCTTCGAAGCGTGAGACTCATGGAGTGAAGTGAAGTAGATTCCTTATAGCCACTTACACGGACTGAAGATGCCATAGCGCAAGACCGAGGCTCACTGCGTCTGTGCGGCCGGCCCGTACCGGAGTAGTTGCACGGTCGTTAGATCCGAGTGGGTCCGGAACTTAGGTCGACTTACTCCCGGCCTCAGTCAGGAAACACGGACCAACCTTGACTTGGCATTGAGATGGATGGCTCGAGATTTGAACTGCAAAACTTCCGAACTCCGAAAGGATTGAAGCCGTATGTAAATGGCCTGGGAAATCGAAAACAATCAATTCCTTCTGCGGCGGAATGGCACTCAGAGACGTCAATGTACCGCAGGTGCATCTGGGTTAGAAGTTCAACATAATCATTATTGATATCTGGGAGACACTAAATTGATTTTCAGTTGCTTGAGTTAATAGGCATGTATATTTCGCTCTCTAAGAAGCTACTTTGCATAGGAGAAGACCTTCATCGCAGGTCCAGGTTCTTTCAACTCGGACTCGAAACTCTCAAACGACTCGCTCGAACCGTTGCCTACCAACGCTCGCTCTTTGTCTTCCTTCGCCCTGACCCTCAATCCTTCCGATGTCTTCTTCTTGCGATGTTCCGTAATAGTAATCCAAACGATGATTGCAAGTAGAAGAAGTCCCACGACCACGGCGACAATTACAGTAGCGATGCTGTTGGCTGATGAACCTGAGCTCGCTGAGTTGATGCCATTTGTGGCCGATGTAGATGCCTGAGAATGGTAAGTCTCGAATAACTGCCAATCCTGAAATTGAGGGCAATCCTCACATTTGAAGTTGCTGCAGTGTGCACGGAGAGGTGGTCTCGGGACATGACGAAAGGTGAGCTAGCCGAGTGCCGAATGAAGACGGACTTTAGAACACGACTAATGGGATAAACTTGCGAATGCCTAGGGTTCGAGAGAGTCGACGACTTTGCGGCAACTGATATGATAATAGGATCTGTAGGGTACGAAATCTTGAGAAATAAACAATGAAGTAACGTCTACGAATGCTAAAAAAAAAATGTGGTCTCGGCTACTGGCATTTGAGAGAAGATTCCATCACCACTTGACACTCCTTGATGCGGCCTTGTCAATGATCTTACGCGGTAAGCCAACGCATAAACTCATTTAAAACTGTAAGAATTTTGGATGCAGTCATCCGTCAGATTATGCTCAAGGGGCTCAGAGTACCATAGTCATTACAGCCACGGGCGTAGAGTGCGCTCTCGCGGGCGTCAAGTCGCCGCATCCATCAAATCAAGCCTCAATAAGCTGATCATATTCGCGTGCAAGCGCCACACGGGAGTTCCCAACCCTCCCACTTGACCTCGTGGCTCATACCACTCTGAGCCGCCGACCTTAGTAGGTAGTCAAAAGACAACGCCACTTCGGTGCGCAAACGTGCTCATCACCTTGCTGGGCTAATGAGAGTGAGACCAGCTGGCAATGGCTGCATGCTCGCTTCAATAAATGGGCGTCCCATTTGGTATCCCTCAAGATCTCTGGCCACTCGCGGATTGCCGCTGGAAGAAGGCTGCTTACATCATGTTGGTGAGACTGCATGCCTATTTGGCGCATGTCGCTCGGCATGAGCCGGATTCGGGCTCGCCGAAGAAGCTTGACTGATCCTTCGAAGTGAACACCTCATATGAAATTCGCAGTTGAGGCTTGTCCTATATGCCATTACTAGGCTATGCTCGCATCTTCACGTTCAGCGGCTATCAAGGTCACCTCCGTTCAACATTACACGAGTTCTACCAAGGATTTCATCAGCAACATTTCATACGCGATAACGATGGTGTTTGGTGGCCCCATTATACCAGGGGCTGGAGAGTAATTCTAAAGATGCTCAAAAAGCATTTGGAAGCTGGACGAGTGATAGATTATGTTAGTGGTCTTAGTTACGACGTGGAATTAGCTCATAAACTTCGCACTCATGTTGTCAGTGTATGCGCCACCATGGCAGCCTTTCAGCTGCTACAAGGCTCAACGACATGTCTGATATTGGATGGCGAATGTGTACGTTGGAAGATGAGTAAGTGGGCGAGGCCCACGATTCTTACGATGAGTGTAATTAAGGCAGGTAAAAGAGACATTTGTAAGACCCATATCGCCCTCTCGCTCCATTTCCCTACCTAGGAGCTGCTAAGTATTTCAGCACATTGTCTTAGAAGATGAGCTGCAAGGCATATTCAGTGGTCCTTGCAGATGTGTTCGTTATCAGTGAAGATAAAGATGTTTTGCAGGAAATCAAGGGATGAGAGTTTTTCTCTAGAGTATATGAGATTGCAGAATTACAATCAGAAGATCTACCGATATGGCAAACGTGAAGAATAGGCCTTGCTGTCGCTGAGATGAACATCGTGTCACGATACGCCGAGTAAAGGTTTTTTTCCAGTGGTTCAAGGTCGTCGTCCATAGACGCCTCAGCCATTGAGGTGGAAATCCCTACCTGGCGCAAGGAGTGGGATAAGCCAGTGCGCATTCACACGAAACTTCCCTTATACAACCTCTCAACTCCATTCCTGTCACCAACGGCAGCAGGCGCCTCACAGGCTTGCGAGGTCAGGTCAAACTGCCGTTTGGCGGAATGGTTACGGGCGAGCCTAGTTAACTAGCTTAGCCTAGGTCAGGGTTTTGGGTTTGGATCCCGGTATATGCACCAGAGGTGTAGTCCCCAGTTCAGCACCGGGGGTGTAGTTTCTTTTGATGGTGTTTACTTTGACTTTTTGGATGTTTTCATTGGCTGCCCACGTTAGTCGCGCCGGACGCCAGAAGAGTCTTCTGGTGAGAACGAATAAAAACGAGTCTAGACGAACAGTTGCGTCGCTTGAAAAAGGGCCAGTCTGCGCGTAAATATTAGGCTCCTTCCTTCTAAAAAGACCATCGCTCGTAAGGAATACGCGCTTTGCTTTGATCATAACTACTCACGACCCTGGGACACATAGCTACTGTATGCTCAATCATGAGGCTGGATATATTTTTCGAGAATCCACCATGAGTTTTGGCTTCGGATTTCGAGTGAAATCATCACCACTCTTCGGCTACATCTAAATGCCAAGAGTTGTAGATACTGACATTACACCGAGACTCACCGAGCCATATACATGGCCCGTGCACTGCCCCTCAGTCGGTACGTATCCGCTCGTTCCTGAGTTAGCGGGGCGTAAACAATCGAAGTCCGTCTTCCAGGTTTGCTGTCACCCATCCCCTTCAAGCTAAACCTCCAAAAACAAGCCTGATTCGACCTTAACACCACAACCAACACCGCCGCGTCGCCGCACGATATTTTCCTCCCAACCCTCGCATTTGTCAAGGCGAGGAAGCGAACTATCCTAGACACCACCCTACAACATCTCCATCATCAGAACAGCCCACCACACCGCAACACAACCAATCAACGAAAACGGGGGGTAAACAAACCACCGACCCCCACCGACAAAACCAACAACCGCAACCACAACACAATGTCTCAAAACGCAGCAACATACGCAGACTGCGTAGCCTCCCTCCGCACCTCCCTAACCTTCCTCCAAAACTCCGTATCGACCCTCGACACAGGCGTCTCTGACCTCCCTCGCCTCGCCTCTGTCCTCCGTCCCACGCGGCACTTCGAGCTCATCCCCCAACCCACCCTCGCCGCCGCCGAGGCATCTTTGCGCGATGAAATCGGTCCGCAAATCGCAAAACTTCTCGACCGCGCCGACGCCCAGATCGCGCGCCGCGAACGGCGCATCGAGACGCTGCAGGCTCGGTGCGAGCTCTTGCAGGGCCGGTTGGCGGCGCCGTCTGAAGATGACGGGTACGAGGCCAGGAAGGCAAAGGGAAGAGGAGGGTATGCTAGCGGAAGTGGTGGGAAGAAGAAAGGGTTGAATGGGGAGAGTGCTTTGCGGGCTAGGGCTGTGAGGCAGAGGAGGGAGGGGTTGGAGTATAGTGTTGAGAGGCTTGAACTTGAGGTCTTGACGAAGGAAAGGGAGTTGAGGAAGAGGCTGGATAAGGCTTGAGAGAGAGAGAGAGAGAGAGAGAGAGAGAGAGAGGCGTGTCTTGAGTATTGAGACTGCAAGATGACGCCCTGGACTGGTTGCCTGGACATGACGCTTGGCTGCGTTTCGATCATTTACCGGCGAAGAGTGGTTGATGGAAGGGCAGGAGGAGATTGCTATGATACCCTAGGACGGATAACGAAGAAATCCTTTTGATCGATGCGAAGTTTCCCGAACGACGATAATATAGTGCCATCGAAGCGAATTTTCACCGTCAACTTGGAAATGCCCATGTCACCACTGCCTCTATCTCCTAATAAGTTTGGATAAGCTGTCGACTTGGAGTTGGGCTAACAGATTTCACTCAGAGATGACGCATAGTCATGACTGGGAATGTCAAGACGAAATCTGAATGTATGCAAATGCCATTTGTAAAACAGCAAGGGAACACCAATATGCATGGGTATCCCACCTGCGAGCTACCGTAACTATCCGAATGGCCGACCCGTTGCTCGTGAAACCCGCCCCAAAAGACACAAAAAGAAAACACACAATCCCTCTGCTCGAGCGACAACGGCAACATACACTAGCAGTAATAGGGAGAAAGCCTGCACGCAATGGTGGGCGGATAGAAGTAGAAACAACAGGTCGAAGAAGAAAAAAAGCGAAGCCGTTTCGGCGGATATACGTGTGCCGCCTGTGGCTCAATAGAGGCGGCAATGGTTTTATCCCGGACAAGAGACCTTAATGTACTCCAACAAGCATTTGAGCGCGAAACCATCCCATGTCCCATATGGTCATTTTTTGCTCCCATCTCCAACAGTGAAATGAAAATCATGAGCTCATTATAACAGGATCAGGTAGTTGCTTGGTGCGATACCCGTCTCGCCCGTCTCCTTGCGTGCCTGCCACCACCTTCCACTCACGTCGCTGACCTCCAGAATCTCGTGCTTTGAGAAAGAGATCTCGTTCGCGTCGTCGGGGTTGGCCTCGTAACTATAGATGGCCTTCGCGCGGTAGGGGTACTCGGTGGGGGGTACCACCTCTTGGTCAAGACCAGGAGGCTTTGCTGCAGGCGGCGCTGCGTTGAATGTTGGGGCCACTCCGGAATTGCGGGTTTGTGTGGTGGGAATGCCCTGAACGGGGGATGGGTTCTCGAAGCCGTTGAGCTGCGCCGAAGTGTACATCTGGGGAGGCTGGACCGAGGTCGAGGTTTCGGGTCGGCCGCCGCCGTACATCATCTGTCGGTTTCCAGACTCCTTCTGAAGCGCGAAGGAGTCGAGGTAAGCGCGCGGCTTCGCTGACGGGGCGGAGCCAAAGTAGAAAATCCAGACAATCTGCAGTCACAATGTCAGCAATTGGCCCTCATTTCAGTGGCGGAGAACATACGGTAACCATGGCCATGAGAATGAAACCAGCGCCAGCAGCCTGGCGAGCACCATTGGAGGAGTAGATGAGGGAGTGGATAGTCAATGAGTTCAGTGACAGAGCGGCACCGAGGTATCCGGTGAGGGCGACATGGTAAGTTTGCGCAGTGTCTGAAGCCACAACGACAAAGACTCCTGCGATTAGGAAGAACATGTAGACGACGGTCCACCATGCGAAGGGCGGGAATGAGCCGGAGTTATTTGTGACTTGTGTTGTCGCGATGATGGAACTGATAAAAGCAATTATCCATGCTAACTAAAAGGGTTGTCAGTACAAACATGAGCATACGGGACATTGACGGAGAAGAGTCGTAGACTTTCGAGGCGCTCTTGAGCATCGACGTACCATGGAGATGGAGACTGTGGCCAGGGCGAAGGGATCACCAATAATGTTCCCCAAATTAATGCCCTTCCTCCCGTACTGAACCCTTGATTGTTCCATTTTGCGCAATGATGGTGAATGAAGAGAGCCGTAGGATGGCATAGAGAATGATGTGCGAGTTCGTTGGACGAAGAGTTAATTGCCTCGGTGCAAATTTCGAGAGAAAGCCTCGAAAAATGTCACAGTTGCGAATGTGAGTCGAGCGACTAGAAGACGTCGACAATCAAGTGATCGAAGCGAAGTGTTCGGTAAAATGGGCGAAGCGATGCCGATCCAACGGTGGGTACGTAATTCGAATGTCGCGAGGGGGTTGTCGTGGCTGGAATGCAAGACCTCGGAAGACTGGGGTGGAAAGGAGTGACTGGTGGTTGGGCTGTCGGCCAAAATAGAAAAAGGGCGCTGTAGAGGTTGTTGTGACGAGTGCGCTGTGTGCTGTTCAGTGCGCGAGGTAGCGTGCGCGCTGTTCTGAGCTGGGATGAGCTGAGCGTTGGATTCGACACGGTTTAAGGTAGGCAGCGAAGGAAGGCTCGAATGAACGATGCGGCGATTGATAATTGGAATGTGGAAAGCGAGTCGATCGTTTCAGAGGGTTGTCCAGCAAGGCAGCCTCTTTTCCAAAGAAGAAAAAGAGAATGGTAGTCGGAATCCGTGGGATGCAAGATAGGAGCGATGAAGCGGATCGAAGACGGCGAGGAATTGCTGTCGATTGAGAGGGGAAGAAAGGGAGAACCGAGGGTCCAGAGTCGAAAGAGCGAGGAGAAATCGGAAGAAGAGGATGAACAGGATTAGAGAATACAAGAGAGGAAGACGAAATCGATGTCGAGTCGAAAGTCGAAGGAAAGACTGAGGTGGGCTGCGTCGGGAGACGGACGACAGTTGTAGGAACAGCAGGCTTGAGCCAAGGCTGGCGGTAGAGGAGAGAAGGGGTAGGCGTTGTTGGCGGTTGACCGCGTGAAATGAAGGGCAAACGACTAGCAAGATCCCGAAGAGGAAGTAGGCGGCGTGGATAGCGAGGCAGAAAAATGCCGCCGGACCAAGCAGACCAGGACCAACCAGACCCGACTCACAGTGGTGCCGTGAGAAGAGACGGAGGCGCGGGTCTTGTGGCGTCGATTTTGGTGCTTGTTTGGCGTTTTCCCCTAGCAATAGGTTCTCGGTCGCAACGGGTGAAGGTGGTGGTGGTGTGCCTGTTGTTGGTACGGATACAGAGAGAATCTGTACACCTCTCTGTGTTTGTTTCTTAGGCTTGTAAAAGCTTGAGTTGAGAAGGAAGGGCTAGACTGAGCTGACTTGCTCGTGGCACCCCCGGATCGCGTGTTGATGTGCAAATCCGCGCCCCTATTTTTGCTGCGGTGCCTGTCGGGTGCCGTTGCGCCCCAGCGTAAGATGTGGGCTCGTTACTCGTTTGGTTTGGCGCTGCGGCTCGTGTCGTGTGCGCTTCTGCTACTACTACGGCGGCGGCGGCGGCGATTGTATTTGTTGTTTATTCTTCGGCCGACCCTCTTTCACGCTGTTGGTGGCTGTCCAGTTCCTTTGACTGTTCGAATAACCAATTCCCGATTCCTTGACTCTTTGGCTCACTCCGGTGGTCGACAGCGGGCAGCAACGGGGGGGAGGACCTTTTTTTTGTCGCAGAAAAGGGTTGAAAGGGATGAGAGGAATGGACGGTGGGGTGGGAAGAATGGAAATAAAAGAGGACACAGGCACACAGGGCAGGCTGCGGCGTAAGAGTGGGAGACTGGGCACTCTGACAGACAATTGGAACCAGGAACCTGACTGAAGCAAGCGCAGATAATATGCAAGGGTTGTAGCTGCAGGTTCTCAGGCTGTGCTTGCTATGCCTGCGACTTCCTGGTCTGCTGGTGCTGGTGAGTGGACTGTGAAAGTATCCGGATCCGCAAAGAGGGCAACAGGCAGGAGCACTCGACGACGAGGGAGGAGGGAGGGTACTGGACGGTGGGCCCAGAGTCAATGAGACGCAAAACGTGGTCGTGGACCAACCTCAGGGACCCGGTGGCAGGTGGAGAGGAAGGAAGGAGGAGTATGAGGAGGAGGACCCAGACCCGGAACTCAGGCACAATGCGCGGGCAGGCGGCAGGTGAGCAAGCGAGACGAGGGGACGTACCCATGTACCTACGGATACTTCCAGGCGGTTGCTGTGAGAGGGATGGAGAGGAGACGTGGAAGGAGTCAAGAAAAGGAAGTCATGATATGCTGGGCGAATAGTAAGCGATTCGTCACTGCGTTGCTGAAGTCCAGTTCAAAGGGGCATGCGGACGGCAATGGAAATCGATTACAGGCCCTCATCAAGTAATTGATGACCAGTGCAGCCAATATGCACCTGTTCGAGAACTGCCCATTGCCAATGAAATCGACCGGGCAGCGCTGTATTGCAGGCGACATGATGCAGACGCAGACAGATTCGCACACTTTAGTAAGGTAGGTACATCCTGGAAGGGGAATTTGAGCCAACCGAACTGCACAAATGGTAACGCGGAGTATTCGTATGGCCATCCCAGGAGAAGACCTGGCGGGAAGGAAGGCAGTCCCAAATGACTGCTTCCTGCTGCTTGTTGCATCGCACTGTGTCTAAGCTTTGTGTTAACACTGTGCGTACGACTGGACGCGTCCCTTCCATTCGGTACGGGGCGAGGTAAGATGCCGTGGGCAGGTACGTAGTCTCATAAGTGTACCTTAGGTCAGGTACTCCATTACCCGTGCTTTCCCAGGTTCAACGGAAGGAACGAGTCCAGCCCATTCTGGCGGCCTGGCCTACCTACCTGTTCGAACATCGTGGAGACTCAGAGTACATATCCCAAAAGAGCCGTCTGATAGACAGGTACCTGCCCACCGTGCTCATCTTGGGGGATCTCCCGCCAATTCCCCGGTTTCCTCTATCAAATCCCCAGAAACCGTTGGTCCCTGCTTGTCCATCAGGTCTGCTCTGCTGTCTGTCGTCCGTGTCTGTCTCTGCCTCACCCCCCCTTGTCTGAAAGTCGCGGCTAGCGGGTTTGAGATTTTTTTGACTTTCCAAGTGGCCTTTCGGGGTTCCTGCAAGCCATCCCACCAACAGCATTGGACGAGCTGGTGAGATGTGGAACATGATTCGTGAAGAACTCAGCTTACCCCTGACGAGGGCCCCACTTCACCCGGGTGCGAGGGACGTACCTCAAGTCAGCAGTTCCCTCCAATTTGGTCCAGCTCAGCCCTGACACTGCTTGCCTTACCTGAGCCTATCTATTCGTAGACGGGAGGAGCGAAGATCTCGTCAAGTCTTGCGCACCTGCTCCGGATATATCAAGCGAATATCACTTTTGGTGCTGCCTATCCATCGTGGATAATGCCACTGGTGTCTTGACATCTTCCATTGCCACGACGATGTCAATCGCCTGTCGTCTCTGACGCAGGGGCACCACACCATGGCATCACTACCCGCCAGCTTTTCGCCGTTTCATCACGACCAGTGTAGTGGTGTATCCATATTACAAGCGCGGACAGAGATCAGCATGCGTACACTCGATTTGGTAGGTAGGAGGAGCAACTTGAGTACGGAGTAATGCTACCGATGACCAATACCAGAGAGCCGAGTCTCCCGATCTCAGACACTTCGATACCCAGCTCTTGGACCCTCACATGCCTTCCACTGGTCTTGTCCGGGGCCATATGCCAGCAGCGCGCTACGGAGACAAACTTCGCAGCACGGCTCCTGACAGCTGTCCGGATGGAACCTGATGATACCGTGCCGCGGTCAGAGCAGCCGTGATCGACTGGGTCAGACTCGACTGTCTGCATTCGACCCGTTTGACCTGCAGGCATACGGGTGCCTGTCACCTTTTGCTCGCCCGCGCTTGACTCTCGAGTCTCTGCAGCTGCCAAACATTTGCTCCTCTGTACGGAGCATACGGAGTACTGCAAGGCGCCTATCCAATGGAGCCATCGTCCAAAACTTTGTTCGACAGCGAACCATTCGTACGAAAGACACCCGTTGGCGTCTTTCAAGTTCTGAAACCACAGAAACCAAACAGAAGCTACCGCCACAAAGCTGTCTCGCAAGTGCCTAGCATCGCAACCGAACCCCGATATGTCTAGATCTCAGAACGTGGCTTCGTCTAGTGACAACAATCTTCTTCGTCGCCTCGTGAGCGCGCCTCCTCCACTCCGAGTGTACTATTACAGATCTCTTCCGGAAGACGCATTGGAATATTCGACAAAGTCTCACGATCCGGCTTCTGGTCACAAGCTTGTGACACTATGGAGAAAACGTGCAAGCTTTCGGTCTAGGATAGCCGTTGCTGCTACGCAAACCGCACAGCCTGTCGCACGTCACTAACATCTTCTTGACTCGCACTCTCTTCTTTCGTCCCAACATCCGTCTTTTGTCATAATGCGTTTGCGTTTCTGGGGGAACTCCGAAGATCCTGATGATCAACTACCGTTCAAGCGGCCGGAAAGCTTTTTGGCTGAGCAACAGCAGCCTGTGGAACAGAGCTGGTGTACATCCGACCTTCAACCTTGCCCTAAGAATCCATCCAACTAGAAACAACGAGGCCTAGTATCGGCCTTGAGTCCAGTCGATATTGCTCACGATTGCGGATTTGAAATACCGCCAACCAAGGATTTGCATATCGTCTGGACAGTCGGCGGTTCTTTCTGTGACTATCAACTCTGACACAGATGCTATCTTGGTTCCCTTCGCAACCCGTCTCCTGCCATTGACGCATTCGATGCTTCGCTCGTATCACGAAACCGTTCAGACAAGATCTGTACATGTCATCGTCTGCGAGAGGCCCAGCCTTCTGCGTCTATCCAGCATGCAAATGGAAACGGACGGGCTTGGTCTCACGGCCGGAAAGACTTCAGATGAGTCGGCGGGCCTCTTGTTGGACCGGCAAGATGTGGTGCGTGCAGAAAATATCTTTCCCTCCACCTCTGATCACCAGTCATTCATTGACGCGGGCCCATGGCGGGCACCGTTCGAGCTTTGGTGGTGTTCATGCACCCGAAGGTCCCGAGACTGTTCTTGATTCAAATTCCCTGGGATCCGCCCTATTTCCAAACTGGGATTCACCATTTCCCCCATTTCCGTGTTGGCACTACGCCAAGTCTGGAACGAAATGATATCTCGACCTCAACCACGCGAGCGGGCGGCGTGGAGAGTGTTCGATTAAAGCCTAAGACGATACGAAGTAACGCATGATTCTTTACTCTGCTTAACAGACGGAGTCCCAAAGGCGGGATCGACGGTTTCGAACTTTGCAACGATAGAATCATTGACAGAGCTTGCGGCAGCAAATCATCTGTTGCAATCCCACCGGTTCCCAAACCAGCTGTCGCACACTGTGCATCTTAACAATTTCTACTACAGCCCCCTTCTCCAGCCAGCATCCCTGAGAACAACCCCTGCGCATCTCATGGATTCTGAATGATCACGTTCAAGTATCCAGCAAAGAAAGCCAACGGCAACATTGGGCTACTTCGCTCTCAACCAAACAGGTTCCAAGAGTCTTCCCTTGAATATCCAGACGCCTCAGTGGCTTTCGCCATCCTGCGTGTGGCTTGACACGTCAGCTTGAGCAGTCTCAAAACAGGGAAATGAGCATCTGGTGACCCGGTAGTTTGGCTGACGCGGGGTATCGAGCCTTGCCATTTTCATTATTGGTCAATCCTCAACGACAGACTCCCGACGTGTCCATACCTGATCTACTGAGTCCTGATTTTTTTTTTCTTCTTTTTTTCTTCTCTTTTTTGGCATGCTATCGGCCAAAAGTCCTCATGGAGATGGAGTCGAGCTCATTTATCCATTGAATCACCTCGGACGAACTAGAAGCTGTGCTGACACACTGGCTACGGAGGCACTATCGTGAGGGGTTGTCAGCCGCTTGGTGCCATCACCTGTAGCCCGCCATCCGTGCCCAGTGTTCGCGGACGAGGCCCCCTGAGAGCTGCATTGGACAGCTCCCGGAAAAGCCAAGCTTTTCTGGTCTGGTAGATCAGGCTTCTTCCGATTCTAGCATCCAGTGTCACTTAAGCACTCGAGCGGCCTCTCCACCGATATGCTTAGGTCGGTTAGATACATGGGCACAGAGAACTGTCATGACACGATCCATGAAAAGTTTACAATCAGTCTTCTCGTATTGTCGCCAATTTGCCGCTGGTCATATCTACACGGCTTGGTGAAGAGATACAGAAACTGACAAGGCATCGCCCGAGCGTTTGCTGAAGTTTCTCCCAAGTTTATTTCAGCCTACCAGCAACTTGCCAGAGTTCGGTGTGTCTTGCCACAATTGATCAGTCTTGGGACAAAGTCCGACAAACCTGTTTCTGAAACGCGGAGAAGGGAGATCCCGCCACTACGAGGCCAGCAGTCTACGTGGGAGTCTGCACTCTGCTCTCTGCACTCTGCTTCCCCCCGACCCGACCCATCCGTTGAGCCCATGCAATCGGGGCGTTGGCCCAATCATGTTGCATTCTTGAGAGTAGCTTTCTATGTCTACGTTGCGGTTCGGGCGGCTGAGACCAAGCTTTTCGGGGTCATCCGAGCACATGCTTGAGGCGATGTCTTCTGCAGGTCGGACCAGGAGCATCCCGTTGCGAAGCTCCTTAGTGAACAAAGCTTCTTATCTTCGATTCGGAGGGTTTTGGGACGAAGAAAAGCTGTTCGCTGAGAATGCGCTGTAATCGACTTATCGAATTCTCGTGTGATGGTGTTGTCAGTGGTTACTGAGAAGCCCAACCATTGCTGGCCCGGCTGGGGCTGTTATCATGGTCGCGACTCTGCAAAGCTCCCACCCAAGGTGACTCTTGAGTTGCATGCGTGCCGGCAGATGGCCTGATCTCGGAGTTGGTTGGGTGGAATAGCCGTCCCGAGCGGCCCTGGAGTATAACCAGCATTCTAAGTATATGCAGGCCCCTGTGGTGCAAGCCCACCGGTAATCGTCTGTATACTAGTAATCTTTACGCCGTTGTTCAAGGTTGACATAGTGTCGCATCCAAGAACGGGACATATCAAAGGGCTGCCGCGGCCTCCTTCTCTCGTTCGGCTCTCCGCACTCGGCGCTCGACCATCTCCACCCGACCCTCGACGTCGGCGACGAAGTCAGAGACGCCCAAGACACCCTGCTGGTACCATGCCTGGAGGACCTCCTCACTCCGGGCGCGCAACTCGGCCATCTCTGCTTCCTGGGCGATCTGGGTCGCTTCAATGCCATGCAGTCTAGGCATGAGGGAGGCGAGGGCCGCGCTCTGGGATGATTCGGGGATGGGGCAGTCGTTGACGGAGGTCAGGGACGAAGCTGTCGCCGGGAAGGCGGCGGCGGAGGCGAGGACAGTGGCTCGGATTGCTTCTGGGGCGAGATGGATTGGCGGCTCGGAGGGCGACGGGGGCTGGAAGAGGGTTGGTTGGGAGTTGTCTGAAGTGAGGTTCTGGGTTAGTCATGCTCGTGGGGCTTGGGGTCCGGCAGAGCGTGGGAGTTGATGGACGTACAGATCTTCATCAGTTCGCCGTATACGCGGATGCGGGAGAGGAGGTGGTTGAAGCGGCGCTCGAGATCTTCTAGGGTGTCGACTGCCGAGTCCGCTTGGGAGGAGTGTGAGGGTGCCGTTGGGCCATATAGGAGGTGCTCGATGCGTAGTAGACGCGATTCGAGGAGGGATATTGTCGAGAGTGTCGTCTTGTCGAGAGAGTTATCCATGGTCGTGGAGGATATCGCGCGTTACGTCGTCGCGTCTTGGGGGAGTGCCGTTTGGATCGAGGAGATGAATTACACTACACTGCCAGTGTGCCGTCGCGCGTGGGTCAGGCTTGAGATGCCTAGCGCAAGATGTTGTTGATAATCACTGATTGCCGGTGAGGGAAATGTCGTACTTGGGGGGTGAGTCGAAACAAGCAAGCAATTCCCCGAGAGTTGATCGTCGCGGGTTGCGATTTAGCGTGGTAAGGCTGGGAGGTGAAGAAGCAAGGGAAGGTGTTGAGTGGCTGAAGCTCTTTTCTTGGGATCTCGAAGTTGAGAGTCAGTGTGGCCAGCTGCTCGGAAAAGTGTGGCTTGTGACCGATCCACCGGACCACACGATCCAAGACATGCGATTAGATAAGGAGCTCACTGGCTGAAGCAGCCAATGGAATGAATTGGTCTCGGGCGCATTGAGACTCATTTCCTACAATGTCTCTCTAATTACAAAGTCATTATTCTTCACATATCTTCGGTATCCTAACCAACTATATTTGGGGCGGTTCCGGGGAAGACGATGAAAGGGAGACGCAAAAGCAACTTTTCCAACAGACATTAGGTAAGTTGAGGCACATCAAAACCAACGACATCAAACGGCATGTGAGTGTCTTTCGAGTCTCGTGCTCCCCCAAACTCGCGGGTGCGACACCACGCCGGCCCCCTGCGCCAAGCACAGAGTGAGGCAAGTGTCAGCGGGTGAGCGGGCTGGGTGAACGCTAAGGTAAGGACCTGCTGGCATTCTGCTACTTGGTGCCATGGTGCCTTGCCTTGTCCTGCGCGGGCCGGTGTTGGTCGCTGACGGACATTTCGGAACGTGCCAATGCCTCGTGGCCGTGGCCAAGTACCTACTCCGTCAGGTATGAGGCACGTAGGAACGGATACCGAAGGTCCATTGCGGTCTGGGCAATACGTAAGAATTGCTAAACAGCCAGATGCTTTCCCCGTCAAGTTCCAGTCGGGGGTCTCCGGTTTTCTTACCTAAGAGCTCCCGGGAGGTAATGCTGTGTAACAAGAATCAATGGCATTGGACAGCTTTTGCTCGGCGGTAGCAAACACTCTCGTCAGTTCGTCATTTGCTTCCCTGACAAACTTCCACTTGCTCCAATACCCACCACCACGCAAGACGCAAGGTACCACCACCCTCACGACACCCTGTGCCTGCTCATTTTACCCGCCCCGAGTCCCCCGACCAGGTCCTGTCATCCTAATACCACCTTACTCTGGAGCTGCCCGCCGCCTGTCCATAATTAATACCTTTAAACTTCTCGGTTATTGAGCGGGAACTCTCGTCCCTCCTCTTGCTCCTTCTGTCTTTCTCCCGTCCAGCGTGTACTTTGTACCAGCGGGGGGGCTGAAGTGGTCTACGTCCTTTTCCCATTTGTACACGTATACACCTTACCCACGTCTTGGGGGAAGGAGAAAGACCATCGCATCGCACATTGTCGTGTGATCTATCCGTCCGTCCGTCCTGCGACTTTGCGACCGAGACGACCTTCGACACCTTGGACGTGCCGTCGTGACTCGTTCTGTCGCCGCCCCCCGAAAAGGGCATTCAGAGATCGACAGACGAAAGGTGCTGGTCAGTATTGGCCACCCCGTCCACCGTCCCTCCCAGTGCTGCCTTCCCAGCCCGGCGGCCCCATTCAGCCAGCGTCAGCCCGTCGCAAAACCAGAACCTTGAATTACTCAGTCGCTACACCCCGAACCGAAGCTTGCGAGGTTTGTCCCAGCAGGGGCGACCACCTTTCCTCAATTGATTTCGAGAGATTCCTCCAAAAGCACGTCACAGCTGCCCTGCGCAAACTCTCCGCCGGCCATTCGTCGCAACGTCACGCCTTCTCCGCCTTGACTGACTGAGAGAAAGTGTGTGTGGGTGCGCCGACTCGAACACCACTGACGAGTGACGACCGACCACCTTCTGCAGCCGCAAGCCGCAAGCCATAACCGCAAGCCGCAGTCACATCCCAAACGCCGCGAAGCCGACAAACGCCGCCTTTCTTTTCTCCTCTCCTGACCAACGACGAACAGCTGCTTTCTTTCGACCTCTCTTGTTACTTGTACGCTTTCAGCTTTTGCTCGACAAACAATCGACAGAACAGCTCCATATCTATCACAACTCACGACTTGTGACTGTATTCTGTGACTTTGGGTCGCAGTTGTGGACACTTGGTTCTACCTCCCCAATCCGGCAACTTCTTACGGACTCTTTTTATTTTTATTTTTTGGTTATTCTTATCTGACCTCCGCTTTTGCGATTGCGCTTGCGACTACTATTACCAAACACTCGAACAAGAGAGAGCTCAGCGACGCATTCTGGCGACGACCGCGAACAACGACCGACGAACCGACGACCGACTAATCAAGACGACGGCACCGACGGCGATCGATAATTACGAAACGGGCGAGCAATACTATGACGAATTACTCTAGCATTACTGATGGAAACGCAAATTCAATTGCGTCTGGAAGCTCCGGCGAAATGTCACGGTATGCCGGACTCCCGATCCTCCCCGCAGGAGGCGCATACAGCCTGATCAACAAGATGGAAGAGAGCTTTGCTGACGCATGGAATACAATCTTGCAGACAACGCCGAAGAAACACTAAGGAAGGGGGAGGCCAGGCCTCGATGCTGAGTAGTGTGATCAATCTACTCAACACTAGTACGTGCTGTCGCGGATTCCCTTGGAATGGAACACGAGTGCGGGGCAAGAAGAAGAGCTGACGAATCGTGACTACAGTTGTCGGCGCGGGGACGTTGGCAATGCCATCAGTGGTGTCACACATGGGCTGTATGCTCGGAGTGTTGATGATTATGTGGTCTGGACTTACGGCCGCCTTTGGCCTGTATCTTCAGTCTCGCTGCGCCCGCTACCTTGATCGAGGGACGTCGTCCTTCTTCGCCATTTCCAAGATTACGTACCCGAACGCCGCCATCATCTTTGACACTGCCATTGCGATAAAGTGCTTTGGAGTGGGTGTTTCTTACATGATTATCATTGGAGACTTGATGCCAAAGGTCTTTATCGGCCTGTTCGCGAGTGCCGTGGCGGAGAACCCGTACCTCGGCGAGAGAAACTTTTGGATTACTGCTTTCATGCTGGTCATTATTCCTCTTAGCTTTCTGAAGAAGCTCGACTCGCTCAAGTACACCAGCATCGTCGCTCTGGTCTCCATCGGCTACCTCGTCATTTTGGTCATCTATCACTTCTCGACGGACCGGCTCAAGGACATGAGTGAGATCCGAGTTGTTGAGCCCGAAAGCGCTGTCGCATTCCTCAGCACATTGCCCGTTGTTGTCTTTGCCTACACATGCCATCAGAACGTAAGTTGACTTTGGTTGGTACTTGGGGCTTCATGTTAATGCAGTGGACAGATGTTTGCCATTTTGAATGAGATAAAGGACAATTCTCCTGGCAGCGTCATAGGGGTTGTTGGCACTAGCATCGGCACGGCCGCCTCCATTTACATTGTTGTAGCTATCACTGGCTACCTCACGTTCGGCAACGCTGTCAAGGGCAATATTGTCATGATGTGTAAGTGAGCCTGGGAGCATGCTACCCCGAACCTTGCTGATTTTTCCCAGATTCTGCAACTGCCGCTTCCTATATTGGACAGCTTGCCATTGTAGTGCTCGTTACTTTCTCGGTCCCTCTTCAGGTCCATCCTTGCCGCGCCTCCGTCGATGCTATCCTCAAATGGCGGCCTAACCGTGCATCGAACGCAAACGGCCGGTCCACCTCTCCGGGCGGACGTCCGCTGCTGCCCTCGTCAGCCTCTGTACGCTCCGACCACGGATCCAGCTCATCCATGGGCGAGACTCGATTTGCGATCTTGACCTCGGTCATTCTCGTTCTTTCCTATGTCACCGCTCTCTCAGTACACAGTCTCGAGAGAGTTTTGGCCTACGTTGGAAGTACCGGCTCAACCAGCATTAGCTTCATCCTTCCGGGCCTGTTCTACTACAAGATTAGCGACCCCGATAGCATCCATCAGCAACGTCTTCACAAGGAGGACGACGACGCCGATGCTCACAATGACGAGGAAGATGCGGATCCTATGACGACTAGTATTGCCAGTCTTGGGAGCATTGCCAGCCATGTGACAGATCCTCGCCAGTGGAAGCGAAAGTGGCGTTGGGACCTTGAGCACATTGAGCAAGACGCCCTCCGCAAGATGGCCCTGGCCCTCGCCATCTACGGCGTATGTGTCATGGTGGTCTGCCTCTTTATGAACATTGTGTTCCACGCATCTCACTGATTGCGGCTTCTTTTGTCTTTCATGAAGATGCAGTTTAGAGGAAGAATTGTTTCATTGAGGCGATGATGCAGATATATTTACTATACGGCCACTCGGGATAGACGTACGGCGACGTGACAAAAGTCCCACGGGCAGCGTCGCGCATTTTTGGAGTTGGATGGTCTGCTTCTCTTCTGATTCTTGGGAGGGGCCTCTTTTGTTCTCTTTGTGTACCCCTTACCAGCGTGGTGGCTGCATGTCAAGGGCGTTGGTTACGTCCAGCATTGGTCTTCCTTCGTTTTTTTTTTTTTTTTTCATTATTTAGTCTAGAACCAGCTTCTAGGACAGACTCGGCCCATTGGCTCATAGTCACAGCGGCCTTTTGATAGCCTTCAAACTCAGCTTCAATCGGGAGTGACATTTTGGTCTTTTTACAGTTGTTATATCGTACAACTCTTGTAATGTGACGTGATGCTGGATGCCTTAGTTTCGTCACCTCGCCTTCCCTCGTCAATACCCGTGGGCGAGCCGAGCCGCACCCTAGACACGTTTCTGGCCTGCCCGTTGCCGTCTCTTTTCGCCTTAATAGTACAATCCCACCATCAGCCCCCTTCTGTTCTGCGCAATCACGAATCTCATGCGTGAAAGAGCCAATCGCAACCCCAGCGATTCGCGCGTTGCTTTTTGATGCTTTTGATACACGACACAGTCCCAGTCGACATTGGCTACACCATTCTCGTCTCATCCGTCTGAGCAAAAATTTCGTACAAATCGTCGATGCTGATGCCTATGATGATTCCGCCGGTGCCGCCGCCTTGGCCGGAGAGGCCGGTGTCCTCAACGACTTGGCCGCCGTCGCCGTGTTGGCGGTGCCGTTTGGTCTGAATTTGGGCTGGAGGATGCCGACCATGGAGAGTAAGCGCCAGACGGTCTCGGTGGGTTGGGCGCCGACGCCGACCCAGTAGCGGGCGCGGAGGGAGTCGAGGCGGATGTCCTTGTGCGGCTTAGTGGTCGCGTCGTAGGGGTCTTGGCGGGGGACGGGGTCGTAGGTGCCGATTACTTCGATTGGTTTGCTGTTGCGGGCTGTTCTGTTGTTGGTGAAGAGAAGTCAAGGGTCAGCTTTTGGGGAGGTTTCTTTCTTTGTATTCGAGGTCCGTCGGGATGCTCTGTTGGGGTTTGCATTGCGGTGAGAGCTTCGCTGCTTGGCGATGGGGGGAAGGGGGGGGGGGGGGAGGTTATGGTGCTCATCTCATGGCGACGGTGGTGTGATCTTCTGGGGATGGTGACTTGAGGTCGGAGGCGTACCTTGCTTGTGTGACGACGATGTTGTAGAAGGGCTGGTTGACGCGCCCGAAGCGGGCGAGACGTATGCGGACGACCATGTCGGTTGTGTTGAGGTTCTAGGCTCGAAATGGGGTTGGTAGAGGCAGGCGGTTTCGTCGGGAGGTTCGGAGAGGAGTCGATTGAGGTGTCGGGCGTTTGGTGCGTCGTGATCGCGGAGCTATAGACAGCTTCAGTCCTGTATAGCGAGGTGAGGTGATGCGAGGCGTTCGGTGGCCTTGGTCGTGTCCGGGGGAATTTTTGGTCGGTGAAGACGTTGTTCCGTTTCCGACGGGATCTGGGCGCTAGTACAAGAACGGTAAGGGGAACGGAAGAGATGACTGGAACGGGGACCGGGGACCCGGGCCCCTACCGATTTTCGTGTGGTGGGTTCTTAGTGATATGAGCAGAAACCAACAAACAGAACCAACTAGCGGTGGAAGAGAGGGAAGCGGGGGCGGACTTGTTAGAGAGAGAGAGAGAGAGGGGAAACTTGGAGGGATTTGCCTGGCTACATCAACTAACCACTCTGTTCCCATGAGTCACGGCTCTTTCTAGCGCGACGACTAAATAAACTTTCCACGACTCGAGCTACCTCACGGCAGGAAACCCATCTGCAATGGCCGACACACCAGTACCTCCCCCGCACCCATCATCAGGGCCCGCTACAGAGCCGGCCGCCGCAACGGTGAATCAACCGGCAGCTCAACCGGCGAGCCCGGCAGCCGCCTCTCCTGAAGCCATGGGGGGAAGCACAGATCCTCCTGCACAAGTGAATGTCGCAGGCGACGCTACTGAGAACGAGACCGACGCATCCTCACTGCAGAGCGGACTTACTGCCACAACAAATGAATCGCAGGCGTCTGTGACCCCGAGCATCTTTGACTATCGGCTCGAAAACGGCCGCAGTTACCACCGCCTCAGCGACGGCAGCTACCTCGTTCCCAACGATGAGACTGAACAGGAGCGTCTCGACATTGCGAACCATCTCTGGCTCATCGCCTGGGACGGTAAATTCTGCCTTTGTCCCAAGAACCAGGGCGCCAAGAGGGTTCTCGACCTCGGCACGGGCACAGGCGTGTGGTCTATCTTGTACGCCGATGCGTTCCAAGGTGCAGAAGTTCTAGGCGTAGACCTGAGTCCGATCCAACCCGAGTTCGTGCCTCCGAACTGCTACTTTGAGGTTGATGATCTGGAAAAGGAGTGGACGTGGACAACCCCGTTCGACTTTATCTTTGCGCGCAATATGGCTGGCAGCTTCCAGGATTGGGCAAAGGTCATTGGACAGGCGTTTAAAAACCTCGAACCTGGCGGCTACTTTGAGATCCACGATAACCTGTACCCCCTCGAGTGCGATGACGGCACCCTCAAGGAGGATTCGGCGCTGTTCCAGTGGTCAAAGTACCTCGTCGAGGCCACGGACAAGATTGGCCGACCCATCACCATTGCCTCCAAGCTTGACAAGATGCTCGAGGAGGCCGGCTTCGTGGACGTGGTAGTCACGAAGCAGGTCATGCCGGCGTCGCCTTGGGCCAAGGACGAAAAGCTGAAGGCGCTGGGTGTGTGGACGTCGGCTTCGCTCCTCCCCGGCATCGAGGGCCTGTGCCTCGCCCTCTTTACCCGCGTGCTGGATTGGGACCCGAACGAGGTCCTTGCGTTTTGTTCAAGCGTCAGAAAGGATGCCAAGAACTTGGGCATCCATGCGTACTGGTACGGATACTCCATCTACGGACGGAAGCCGTTCCCGAAGGAAGGGGAAGAAGAGGCCACGCAGAACTGAGATTGGACAGTCTGTCTTGGAGGTCTGCTGTATTCCTGTTAGAAAGGCCAATCCAGACAGTGACTGCCTGGTAATTATAAGCGTGCGTTTCTCGGACTACGTTATACTCACAGTATCGACCATATTCTATCGTTCTAGCGGCTATCTTGTGTCCTTGTCTTTGGCTTTGCTACCGTACGTCTCATGAAAGTCACCATGTTTCTTGAAATCAACCTGCATGATTGACTTCTGGTCTTCTCAAGAGTAATTGCCTGTTACTAGATTGCGCTTTGTCTTTTGCCTGTGGCCTCTGTTACATGAAGTGTATGCAGGTCAGTGTAGTCTCCACAACCCGCGCTCATCTAGTGGACGCCATCACAACGTGAGATTGATTTCATTAGCTGAAAAAACGCGTGACTGTTATGGATCTTCAACCTAATGATAACAGGAGACATTGACGGACAAGCTTAGACAAGCTTCAAGGAAGTTAAAGCCAGGCTGGTTGGAGTAGCTGTCGATTTATGAGCGTATGGGCTTTCAGCTGCGCGATCTTTCGTATTCGATCTGGAGACGTCTTTTCTTCAACTGTGAAGCAAATCGCCCCCGAGGCCGTTCTCAGACAAATCGTACAGACGATCGGCGATCTGCCTGAGAAGCGGTAAGAACTATGTTTTGACGAGATCCTTGACGAATTCCTTGACGAGCCCCTGAGATGGTTCATAGATCCAAACAGATCACCAGAGGACCCTGCCAAGGTTGACCCCATGCTGTCGTAGTTTAAAAGTAACAGGCTTCCAGGAATACCTTATCCGGAAGCATACTCGGCAAGGCTTTGAAACTCACAACCCTTTGTGTGAATGGGAGCTATTTTGTGGCTTACGCGGACGAAAGTGACGAGATGCTGAATGCCTTCCCACAGATGTCTGACACCGAAGCTTCATTTTTGGTCGAAACGTTGTTGAATACCTTTGAGTGCGATCTGAAAAGGCGGATGGGTGCTCCGGAGCTCACGAAATTTGCGTGGTCCAAAACTTCGGATCCCTCTCGAAAGCGAAAACAGGCCCAGCTATAACCGTCACCATGGCTTATAGAGCCACTTACGGACGGTATGGGTCATAAAACCTCATGGTATTGTGAATACATGCACACTGAATCGAATCCGTCACTGGATGCCCGAAAAAGCCACACTGTACTTGGAAAAACGATCATAATACGCGCGAGCACAAAATGAATGTTGAGAATGTGAGACATCTGCTTCTGAAGTTCGAACATTGATGGTTCAAGATTGTTCATCGTGCACGTGAGTTAGGCTCTGTGTGTGTCTGTGTCAAAGGAATAATGCTTGGGCTGACATCGGCGTTGAAACTAATGACTTTTACTCGGATTGATGCTAGCGAACTTGCAAGTCTTACGTGCATGATACCATCAATCGACATTGTGATTCATTTCTAGCTAATGGGGGATTCAGGATTGGATATCTCTAGTGTTCTTTCAGGATGGCTGCGATGCCTCTTTTTCCATGAGTTTGAACTATGCCTTTGAATAGTAAGACCTTCCGTCATCTACCTGTTCTGTATGGGACGACTGGCGGCTTTCCTTCGCCAGCCCGAGCCCCTATCAATCATCGAGTTATTTATGAAGCCCAGCTGAAATTGGGTCAAATAGATGAATGATCAAAGGTTTCGATAATCCACTCGAGATGTCCGCAACTCTTATTTCATGAGAAAGTGTTTGTCCTTGGCAGCATGACGCCAGTCGTAGCCGGCATCTAAGGGATCAAGTGAACTTGCAAGGTGTAGGGACTTTCCGCGCCACTTGATCTCTCTCTTTGAAAAACAGCATGGGAGGCAATTTGGTAAACTTTGAAGAACGGACTATGTTGCCGTGTTCTTGTCTTAACGCTGCCGGCCAACTACCCTGGGGTGTGCCAACAAAACCCAACTAAGCGCTGGTTAACAATTGCCAGAAGTATGCGATGTTTTCTGTTGTTCTCAAGTAATCCCCTTGCCCGAGAACGGAGAGCGGGAATGAGAGCACATCATTCACTTGAGTCTCTTTCAAGGCTGGCTGTTACGTAGTACATCAAAGTGACAGAGTTCGAGGCAGCATCAGGTAAGTATTAAAAGAGTCATCTCAGTGAGCATTCTGCATGGGCGGCATGCGGTTGTCAAGTCTCAATTTCGTGCCGCGGCTAAGATTGTGCTTGTATCAAGGCCCCCATTCGGCTACTTCCGAAGACCACCGTGCCGGCATTTCGATGCGGGTTGGGGGCACCTGGACCATGACAACTCACTCCACCAGCGGCTGTAGCGGCGGCAGTGTGTTTGGTTGTTCTCTGGCACTCTGGAAAGCGCGATGGCGAAGATGGTAACCCCTTTGCGAAGATAACACGATAAATACGAAGAATTGTTTCCAAATATGGGACAATGGCCCGGAGTTCCCCCGAAGAGCTACTGTGGCTCGTTTGCGGCTAAGGTAGAGTCTTCTGTCAATAGTTCTCCCCCAAGTGCAGGTGGGCTGGTATGACGCCAAGTCCTTGCTACTAGTCACACTTACTGATCCCGCTGCAGGCTGCAGCTGTCAGGAACTCCGCCGTCGGAACTTTTGAACCAGCTTGGCGGTGCCCACCGAAAAGACGACTGGACAAGCCTCCAACTGGTCGGGTTGTGTCAAATTTGGATTGACAAGTGACAGGCTCGAGGTCTGTCCACCGAGATGACAGGGCCCGTTGCCACTGATCGTCGCCTCGGAAAAGTACATACACGAGGAAAACGATGGCTTTCCGCTGCCCGGTGCCAACAAATCTAACAACCACGCCCATTCTGGACTGCTACGTGCGTGCGTGTCTGGTAACCTAGACTAGAAAAAGAGGCACAGAAGGAGGAGAGCCCGAAGAAAACAGCCCGTTTTGTTTACCACACTAGATTACTTAGGGTGGAAATCAGTGCTGCACGGGGGCGGCTCTTCCATGCAAGTTACCGCACAACCGAGCTAAAAGGGGGGTTACTGAATTTAGTCTGCCAGTCACAACCCCAACAGTGTTGACCATGGGTGTTCCTCATCTCGCCTGGGTTTGTGTGATGGGGATGGGCACAAATGGAGGTTTCCTGATTGGACCTGGGGACAAGAAAGCATGCGTGCTGAAAGCCCGAAGCCATTGACCGTTCTTGGTGAGTCTTTCTCGTTTTTTTTCTTTTTTTTTCTAAGAGCTGAAAGTTTTATAAACAAGATGTCTCTGGCTATCACAACCAAACCACGGAACTCTATTGGCGGCAATGGGCCATAGTCTCGGCAATACCGGCCGACGGCCGACGGCCTTTGCTTTTTACGAGTTGCAGTGGATGCCATTTGCTTCCTTCGCGTACGCCCGAAGCAGGGAGTCGCCTACGTCACGGCTGGCAGAAAAGAAATCAACCCACCATGAATTGATGATTTCAACAGCAATCTAAAATTCTCTGAAAGTCGGTTTTGCATACGAGATGGGGCAGTGGGGTGGCACTAATGAGTGGAGGAGGAGGGGTGGGAGCACCAGGCCTGACTCGTCCGGACTATCGACAGGGATCGTCTACAAATGGGTTGTTTATAAAGCTTGAGGGGGGAAGCTCAATTTCCCCTAAGGTGTTCGGCCAACTTCTCAGATTCATCAACTTTGGACGTTCGTTCTTGTCACTCGCTCAGACACACTACTTATTCTAATACCGAAAAACTTCGACAAAACCACAAAAACAACTTATATCTAATTTCTCACTAAGACCGACAACATGTTCTCCAAGACCGCCGTCGCTATCACCTCATTCTTGGCCATTGCCGAGGCCGTCAAGGTCACCAAGCCCGCCAAGGGCGACGACTGGGATCTGTCCAAGACCAACGAGATCACCTGGGAGACCGTCTCCAGCGACCCCAAGAGCTTCGAGATCGTCATCGTCAACCAGTCCGGCTACCCCGAGGTCTCTGAGACCATCGCCACCGTCCAGGCCGCCGATGGCAAGTACGAGCTGAAGGGCGCCAAGGTCGCCGCCGGCGATGCCTACCGCATCAACCTCGTCTCCGTCGACCCCCAGAACTCTGGTATCCTGGCTCAGTCCAACGAGTTCAGCTTCACTGGCTCTGACGGTACGTGAAGACGGCACATTTCTCTACTCCGATGGTCCTGAGCAATCGTGCTGACTTCTCATGATATAGACTCCTCTTCCGCCTCTGCTTCTGGCTCCGCTACTGCATCGGCCAGCGCCTCCGGCTCTGCTGCCACTGCCTCTGCCACCGGTTCGTCTTCCTCGGCCTCCGGCTCTGCGGCCACTGCCACCGTCACCCAGACCTCCTCCGGCCTGACCACCGTGACCACAGTGACCACCGGCTCTGCCACTGCCTCGGCCTCCGGAACTGCTGCCTCTAACGCCTCCGGCTCAGGTACCGCTTCCGGCACTGCCACTGGCTCCGCTGCCTCCGGTACTTCCACTTCTGCTCCCAGCAGCGCCTCTGCCATCAAGTCCACATTTGCCATCTTCGGCTCCGTCGCCGTCGCCGCCTACATGCTCTTCTAAGCAAGATTTAGATGCACGCACGAATCTTGTTTTTTTCCTTAGAGCTGTTTTGAGAAACCCGAATGATACCAACCGGCTACGATGAAGGGAGTAGCGACAAACTAGCGAAGTGCATTTGGAGGGGCTGGGAATTGAGGATTATATCGCAAAAAATCGGATGGGTTATGTCTGGCGTCGCCTTCGCACAAGTTTGAATTACGTTTTTATAGAGTAATGTTGAAGCCTTGCTACTGGACTCCCTCCATTTACAAGCGGCTCGAATTCGCGTCCTGCATGTGAGTATGCGTTAGAACACCCTGACGATGGGGAACCTGGTATCTGTATGCATGATGTGATGGATTACCTGGGATTTGACCCCAAGTTTTCGCGTTGTTCCGGACGCGACCTGAGCGCGGAGATGAGCAGACCCATGCCGTTCATCCTGAGTGCCCAAAAAGTCAATGGAATAATCTCCACCATTGAGTTGGGCTCGTAATTATGGATACGGAATGGGCGCACCTAATTCGAGACCGTTATGCGGCATAACCCTGCCGTTCCCCTGATCGGCCGCCTTAACGTGCAGGTTGGCGTCTGCTGGTTAACCCAATTAGGATTGACGGCTGGGATCATGCTAGGATAGGGCCTTCTTTCTTCGCTGCTCCGTTATCGCGAGCACTGGAGCAGCGAACCAACGGCTAGTTCAAATCGCGTCAGATCACCTACGGAAAACATGATTGTAGATCATGATATCACGAGGAAAGAATACGGGTTGCTGACTCTCATCGTTTCGAAACGGAGACGGCACACCCGCAGACCTTTTGATGAACTTCAAGACGGTCACTTTGCTGGCATCGTCCGCGAGTAAACTTTTTTTTTCTTTCTCTTTATCGTGGATCCTGAATTCGCGACAATTTACACTAGCCTTCCACGCTTCCCACGTGCTGAGGTAGCTTTTTCTTTTTTCCTATTGTCTTGAAACTGTGAGACAGTCTGCTTCAGCCTAACAAGGTGTCCGCCAATAAGGATAGCGGCCTAACTGGCCCTAGAAGATGCCGTTTATTAGGAATGTCACCCGTTGAATTATAACGCAAGTAAGGGGTCTCGTTTGCTTGACATGCTCAGGTACACCCAATATTGGGCTTTGTCTGCTCTGTTCTCCCGTGAAGTTCAAACGTAGTTATCTTCCTTCCTCTTCTAAATATGTCTCCAGCTTCCTATACATCAGTGCATGGGATATACCAAATACACCCCGAGCTCTCGCGCCACGAGCATTTCTACTACTGCACTCAACGATCGGAGGATCGATACTTGAATTAATTTTCCCTGGCTCAGTCGCGTTTAATCAGGCACTCAAACTTGATGGGTCTCTGCGTCTCATTATTTCACGCCTCGAAACTCGAGTTGCTGATTGAAAGCGATTTGCGGGGAATGGTGAGTGATTGGGGGGGGGGGGGGCACTGCTCAGGAGCGCGTCTCGTACCATAATCTTCGCATTGCACAACAAGGAGACTGCACTTGGAGTTCGAACACGACATCCGGTTCCTATGAAGTCTTCTAAGTAAATACTGGAGACTTTGCCACAAGTACAGATGTGCTGATTTAGACCGGCTATTGGGGTCTCAGATATCCTGAAGCATTCCGGGGAAGATCACCGCCATTCCAGTTGTTGGGGAGGACTGACGCATGCATTGTACACGCCATTCTACACTAAGCATCTCCACTCATAGAGGAGGCCGTACTAGTACTTTTTCTTCTTCGGCTAAACAACCTCATGGGTCCGCTGGGTTGTGTTCGCTTCAAGATTGGCGGTAAAGAGCCCTCTTTTAGAGACTGAGGACTGATGTGTGACTGAGGGAAGATGCCAAACTTCCCTTTGCTGTTTGTTCCAGACCAACACCAATGGTCCTGGTAAAGCCCTGAAGATGCTTAGTTTAGCACTGGCATCGAGCCTAACCACTCACTCAAGACAGGGAAAGACTACTTACACCCAACATTTCTGATCACTTCTCCCTTCCCAAATGTCAGCCAGCCTGCCCTCGAGTTGTCGGGAGGGTCCCATCTCCATCTCGTGGTGATCGATACCGCGCTGGTAGCTTGGAACGAAATCTCATTCTGTTTCGGACTCTCAATCTCAATGCATTTGGCTGGAAAGGGACCTTGAACGCCATCGTGCCACCCGGTGCACCACTTGCCGCCCCATTGCTCCGGAAACTCAACACCGACAATCTTTGCGCCAACGAAGAATGTGAGCACATTTGAGCTACCGTCAGGTCCTAACAAGGTTTCGCCTCTCCGCTGAACATGGCTCTTCAAAGCCGTGGCGACGGGAAACTGGGTGAATATGTCATGGTTGGGGAAGGAATTTGGAGCTGGAGGCGATGGGAAATGGACATCATAGTCCTCGATTTGATGATGGTCTTTGTCAACTGGACCATACAAGACATTAACGCCAGGAACTTCGGGAAGAGGCTGTGGATGGCGAGAGAGGTGTTGAAGAAGCTGATCTGCGCTCTGGAAGACAGTTGCGTCCCCCTCGTGGACGGTGCGTCCGATATGGGTGCAGAACAGACACGCGTATCGGATTTCCGCTGTTGTTCTCACCGCGATGTGAGATTTGACCAGCAATCGCACACGATAGAGTATGCCATACTTCAGAAAGTTTGCTCGGGCTTGGGGGCGTCAGAAATAGCAAATAAAATCAATGGAAACTCGGGTTGGCTTACAGTCACCCTCTTTGTCTAGAGTTAGCGACCTGTTCAAATGATGATACTCGCAATCCATGCACCGGCCGATTGGAAGTGGTTCGCCCTGCTCTAGTTTTAGCCGTACTGTTCCCGAGCTGGGTTACGTGCGTTCAAAAAGTTTTCGGGTTTTGAGGCTTGACTTACCCAAGTCATGGTCTGTTTGATGCCATGCCAATATCCTCCTCTGCGAAAGGTTTGTGCGCCGTCACAGAATCCCTTGAGCTGATGAAACGAACTCTTCGGCCCTATAAAACATCCTTCTTCTTTTTCCATTGTTGAGATGGATCTCAAGTGTTGCGTACTAGTTTCTGAGGCTGCTTGCTCATCAGCCAGCATTAGCCCGTCTGTAAAGAGTCCAGAAGATGGGAAATCGATGGCAAGAGCTGGGTCAGATTTTGTTCCTGCGCTCGGCGATATCCGCACATCGATGGTTGGAAGCTTAGGCGAAGTTACGTTGGAAGAGTAAGTTGGAACATCGGAGTATACCGACGTTCTGTTTGTAGTCGAAGGGCTTGTTGGATCAAACACTGAGCTTTGTGGGGTCACTGTGTCGAGGCCTCTTCGATGAATTCGGGGTACGAATGTACCATCGTGGAATGCATCATCACCCACGGCGGAATTCTCGGGGATGCTTCCACGGAAAGGTCGCCTAGCTTTTGGAACAGAGGTCTGTTCTTCAACCCAGTCTGATGTCCGGGGTTGTAAGGGTTCTAGCGAAGTAACAATCCTCAGCTTGCCCACTCCGTCGCTGAGAATACCCGGAGATGACGGTCGTCGGCCCTCTCTGTTGGAAGAAGCAGCGCCTGGGAATCCACGAGATGACGCAGGATCTGAATCTGTTGACTCAGCTATGGAGTGAGCCCGCCGCAACGTCGCACTATCCGACGATCCATGTGAGCCTCTCGTCTGACTACGGCTCATTGGCGGCTTGGGTTGCCGCGGGACGGCAGGAAATAATGATATATTGGTGGCTCCGTGGCTTCCACCTCGTAATGGCGGTCCTGGCCGGATTTGCGGGCTGGCGCTTAGTGACTGAGCCAGCTGCGGTGGTAATGACGGTAGAGGCGGTAATGGCGGGAACTTGTGCACCGGCATGGTCGAAGTCTTGACGTCGATCTTCACCCTCTGAATAGCGTCCAATACCACTAGGGCAAAGCTTCGAGTCGCAGCCTGGATATCGGTAAACTTCGCCGAGTCGAAAGTGTCCAACTCTATGTAATCCTCAAAGTCGTAAAGCAGTTCTTCAAGTGCTCTCCGTTTCTCCGCCAATTCGTCTTACTCGAATATCAGTCAATTGATAAACTTCCAGGCATGCGACCGCTCAACTTACCATTTTCGGCGATGGTGTCTTTGAAGACATCTCCATGCTTTTCGAACTGGCTATTCCACAAAGGCTGTAATCTCTTCAGTGCCCTTTGGCCTTCTTTTGCGATGATGCTTGCCGACTTGGCCATCTCTTGGGATGTTTCTGAATCATCATCTTGTGCATCGTGTGCATTCTTCGCAGACTCCTCCCCCCTCTCTACTACCTCGCGGAAAGGTGCGAGAATGAGCTCTTCAACATCGACAGCCATGACTTCAAACAGATTGTTGCATGAGTTTGGACAATGTAGGGAGGTAAAATGCCCAGGAGCCGCTCCACGTCCGTGAGTCCGGCAAGGTTCGGATCGGCCGTGACACAACGTGGCGATGGGGTTCGAATTAAAGGGTCTTTCCAAACGGGCCGTTACCAAATAGCTGGTACACTGAGTGCACTGCGGGACACCCATCGCGCGGGAGATTATGCCTGCAGCCTGAACAGGCCGCGGCGTGTTGGAGAGAGGGTGCAATTCGAGGACTGTTGTCAGCCACTCGATGGAGCACGTGGGGAGCTCGCTAAAGGGCTGATGAAAGGATTCTTCATGCACACCGGGACACCAGTATGACGCTATTGGTTCGGTCGCCTAAAGAAGTGCATCTTGCCGAATCTCCAGGCACTACACCGAGAAAGGCACCTGGCAAGCATTCTCCCTAATGGTACGAGCCGCTCACGGTCGGCCTAATTACATATCAAATTTGGCGAAGTGAGCTTATGTGCATGTGAAGGTCTGGTGTTGGAGCTGTCTGCGCTAGGAAGAATTGGTGAGTACGTCGAGGAGCAATGCTCGTATCGCGTATCTTAGCCTAAGATGCATTTAGCATTATGAATGTTTGCCCTCAAGCTTAAGGGACACGGAACTTTCCTCCAAGTTCATCTTCCTACTGTGCCTGACCCAGCAGACCTCTTCTGCTTGGTAC